TGTGCAACCTGACACTGGTCTTGATGACATCCGACGCCGTAGATGTGATCCAGTGTACAGGGCTTTTTTTATCTCTTGCATGCTGTACGGGCAAGGAGTAAAGGACATCTCCCCAAACACTAGCAGCCCTTCCAGGGCCCTTTCACTACAGGCAATCGCTGACCTTGTGAATCAGGGAGCCACCTAGCGACTGAATCAGCCAGATGGTGTTGCTTCTGGCATGGCCTTCTCTTAGCTGGGCATCCGGGGAACCGGAAACGTCAAACTCCTTCTCAACTTGGGAGACTCTGCTGGAGGATAAACCTCCGCTGCACTTCGCAGTTCGACACCCAGAGTCACCCCCGCACCACGATGAGCCGGTAGACTATCCCGGGAGCACTTATAATATCAATCAAGATAAATGTAAAATATTTCACGGAAGATGGATGTCAGGTCAACTGGATTCGATGGAATGTAGGCTCATATAGAGCTTCCTAAAGGCCTCGAGTGTTAAACGGCTGGCTTTCAGGTGTGAATTTACATTCCATCGAAGCTTCACCATCAGAACTCAAATAAAACTATGTTCAGACATTATTGTTTACTTCCTTTCACCAGATTTCAATCTATCCAATTGAAATTAATCAGCATGGAAAAGTTTAATCAAAACTTTTTTGAAATTATATTGAAATTCTGTATAGCACAATCGAAAACATGCTTAAAATACTGCGATGCTGCTATCAAGGTCGTATGGCATACGTAATTAAGTTTATAGAAACAACTGAAAAGCGAATCTTTTGGGGTTCACCAATCAAAGCTATGTAAAACATCTTTCAGACCTTCTTTTAACTTTCTTTGAGAAGAATTACAGGTATGTTCCCTTTGATGTTTGGCCACTAAAAGTCTATCCCGACTACTGTGATGGTCCAGTATATATTATAGGGCGAAAAGCAGTGCAAAAACTTCTTAGAGTGACACCCAAGCATCGTTCATTCTATTTTGAGGTATGCCACCCTCGTTCTTCTAGAGGATCTTAATTTTTACAATATTTTTTATTCGAAGATGACCTGACTATGAACATTTGCAAGAATTATCAACTTTAGATTTTTGACAATCGTTTCAGTTTGTCTTTATCTTCTTTTTACTTTAATAGACAGTATATTTGCTTTGCTAGAAAAAACTACGCAATTTGTTTTTTTTTCATAAATTTTGAGAAAGCTCTTTATTCGCGACCAATTAGTCTTTCCAATTTGCAACCTATCCGTTTAGTTAAGGATGTATTCTTCACTGGCATTGTTGCTGAGTCAGCTGGAATAAAGAAATTGAATTGGTCCGACAATATGATACTTACCGACCAGGTTTGTAAGGCTTCAACAAAATATATTATCCATTTTCATTCAAAGATGAGTCAAAACAAACACGTTAATGTGAAGATCCGAATGGTTTTGATGTCCTGAGGATTGATCTCAAAGAAATTAAAAGTTCGGTATCAAGAGTCATGTCTGTTTAGTC